CATTGCTGTAATTTATTATTGGCACATCCGACTATGGCAAATTCAGTCCTAATTTTTCATCCTAGTCAGCTAAGAGAGTCTGCAGTACTGAGTATTCTCTCTCCACCACAAAGCAACCCTGAGACAGACTGCTTGTTGACATTTCATACTGCTGCATGAAATTAAAAAATAGCCCAATTCATGCTAAAAGTGCTTGTAGATTCTAAACAGCTGCAGGCTTTTCCGTTGTTTGTCACTTTTGCCCCAGTTTGTGGCAAGAACCAGTGTCTTGCGGCTGGGAGACTTTTAAAGAAGTCATTTGAGCTGATGATTGATTTAAAATATTTGACACGACCGTGTAAAATAACTTGGGTTAATACAATTTTCTGTTAAATGTTAGTTCTGAGGATATTAATCATATTCCTGGTATCCCATTACTTTTTCCCCATATACAATATGGGGAGTCTCATGTGTTGGTCATATGAAACAAACCAATATAAGAAACATATGCGTCCCAAAACTGAATGACAGATAAAATGGATAGGGACAAAAATTAGCTTTGAGGCAAACTGTATTTGCTGAGAGAGGGATTTGAGAATGCAAACCCTTTATCTGGACTCAGGTAAGACAAATGTAAGACAAAAAGTTTGTGGGTAAGTGGTAACATTGCCCTCCTACTGCTGGTGGCCTACCATAGCTATTATAAAAACTTGCTGGACTGTTCTCTAGGCTCAAAGAAAATGGCTTCATAATGCAGGCTGACATTTAAGGGGGCAGATCCTTACCTGGAGTAAATCAATGGACTTCTGCCAATTTATACCACTTGATAGCCTGGTCTGAAAAGAATTGTAAGGAAAGAAGCATAAATTTTAGCCAACATATTAGACTCTTTTCAGCTCTGTTATGCAACAAAGCAAATTCTTGTAAATTGTTTGAGTAATGTTGTGGTTTCGAGGATAATAAACTAATACCACAAACAGGATATCGAATTAACAGTGATAAAACAAGATGCAGTGTACAAGAAAAAAATGCTGTTAGTATTTGGAAGATGTGCATAAGATGTGCCTATTTCTTTGTGTCCTGTGTAATAATGAGCAAAGTAAGCATAAAACTCCACCTTTCTGATTCAGTAGCCTTTTAAGTCAGCTTTGCACAGCTATAAATGTATTGGGAATTATCAAGCAGCAAAGAGTCAAACCTACGTTCTCATTCAAGCTCCATTTGAAAAATATCAGCTGCTGAATGCTTTCAGCCTTCGCTTATTCCACTTGATAGAGTTACATATGTTGGAGAAGCTGAGTTACATACTGCATAAATAAACTGCAGTATGTGGCTTAATGCAGCAATTTGTGGCATATCTGTCCTAGGCAAGTCATAATATAGTTCTACATTCCTGTAAAGTAGAGAGACAAAACCAAATGTGAATATCAAAGCCTTTCTGTTGATGCATTCAGCTTTGCAAATTTGATTTTTTAAGAAGACTCTTATTGGGTCTAAGTCTTCAGACTTGTAATTTGTAAAGATATTTACATGTGTGCAAACTGGAGTAAAAATCAACCTACTGATTTCATAGGTATTTCTACAATCATATTGTACATCTGTAAGTAACTATTTCGTGTGCAAAAGCATTGAAGAATCAGGGGTGCATTCCTTAGCAATTTCACTATTAATGCTTTCTTTTGTTCTTCTTCCTCAGTATACCTGAACTAATAATGAGATCGACAGATTAACAGAATACATAGTATTTAATACAAGGGACCTTTTTATTTTACTGGGAAAATAGCTTTAGGGAATGCAATAGACATGATTCAGTTGAACTAGTTTAAACATGTCAAGCCAGTGTTCTGGTAGCCACTATGTATGTGAAGACATTGTGTTACCCATGACATATGATAATTCAGAGAACAAGAATAGATGATAAATGTAGGGGTGGAATTGCAGCAGCCAATCAGTGTAAGTTGCTCTAGCTTGCTTTCTCAGGTAAGGGACAAGAAAAGCAACAGACAGGAGGCTGCAACTTTATTTTGCACCTTCTTACATTTTTCTCTTCTATTGCTTTTCCTGCTTTAAAGTCACTCTTCTGCCCCACCACATCCTGTAAGTTACACCTCCTGTTCATTACAAGCTGTAATTTACCAGTGTCTTACTCCAGTTTTATACCATTGCACCTCTTCTACTAGACACAATACTAGTACACCAGCAAGCCAGCCTGCTCCACAACTCCAGGTCAGTGTCATCATGGTGAATGACATTAAGGCTGATGTAGAATTGGAATATTGTATAGTGAATTGGGTCCTTGTTGAAGGATGAACCATTGGTCCCTGTCCCATCTGATGTGACAATACAAAACAACTGAAAAGGGACAGTCAAGTATTTCCATTGCTATCACCCAATACAGGAGAATCCTTGGATTGTGCAGAGCTGAGATAGTTGCTTTCAGGCCACTGCCTCTTACCCTCCAGCATCTCCAAAGGCGAGTTAACCATGGTCAACTTTGCCAGGCGTCAGCTCGGTGTCACTGAGGATGGATGCTTGACTTATGGAAACACAGCTTTCCTCACCATTACCTTACTTCTGAACATAGTCCTGATTGTGTTTATCCTTTTAAAAATGTTCTAAAGGCAGAAACAAAGAAATATGTATTGGTAAGCAGGGCAACAAAGGTATAAACTGTAAAAGGGATGAGAGAGATCAGCCTGCAATCCTGAATCAGTGGGGCATGTCTAAATGTGCACTTTAATGTGCAGTAGCCTATTTTACTGCACATTAAAGCATCACATAAACCCCCCCTGCTATTATGCTAATGCACAGTAAAATAGGCCACTGTGCATTAAGCGTCACTTTAAAACTGTGTGCAGTTGTTACTGTGTATTAAGGCAGCCTAATGCGCATTTGTTTAGTACCTCACATTGGAGGTACTAAATTTACTGCACATAGGGGAAAGCGCCTTAATGCATGTGTAGATGTGCCCAGTGTCCCTTAGTACTTCTCCCCCACATGCCAGCTTGTCAACAGCCCCATCATAGGTTTTAATGAATGAGACGCTCCAAGGACCATTGAACACTGAATTGTTAGTGGATGAGTCTGGAATTATTTAACACAGGTGTTTCTATAGCTGTGATATACTGGGGAAATTGAATGTTCAACAACCATCATATTTCCAGCTGTGCCAGGGTTAAAGTTAGTACAGTGAATCTACTATTAAATATGTGAAAGTGTTTTCTGGTGCAGAACCTTGTTAAAGGTATTTTCTTACAGAATCTATGCTTCTATGTTTGCCTACGTGTGTTTCTTCAGTCTAGCATTTCCACAAAGGGTGTAATATAGTTTTTACAAAGCTGTCTCTGAAATCCTGGAATATCCTCCCAGCAACCAAGTAGATTGCTAGTCATTTTAACTAGGGTGCAGCACTCGAGCAGGTGAAAATAGGATTATGAGGAATCTGATGACAGTCCATTATCCATAATACATTAATCTTGAGCAGCACTTGTGCATCTGTTACATATTTAAGCATGTTTTTACTAGTGGCTCTAGAAATCTTGAAGCAAATGTTGCAAGGATCTATATGTAAAAGAACATAAAAGGAGCAAAGTTAACAAGGGAACAGGGAGTTATAAAATGAAGGTAGTGAAGTCCAGTCACCAGAAGGACAAGTTGTGAGATTCTTAAAAAGTTTTACATACACATGCACATGTGTACACGTGCACACACACACACACATACAAGTTAAATTATTAAATGGACTAGGAGTGCTTGTGTGGAAACTCACACACCATCACGTATGCTGTGAGCTGAATTGTTAGGTCAAATTACCCAAAAGTGTTTTATGGGTATCTTTTGTGCCATAGCGGGTCAGTTATATTTATACTCTACTGGGTATTGTCTGCTATTGCCATAATTTTCTAACAATGCCTCTGAGCTATGAATGTCTCTGCAGATCTTTCCTTGGGAAAAAAGATAAGCACTAACATGCATCCAGACCCACGGATACCTGCATTAAAATTGAGTCTGGCTAAAGCAAATATGTTTAAATAAACTCAGCTAAATCATGCAACGGCCAGCCTGGCCTTCTTCCTAATTTACAGTATACCTGATTCAAGATGTGCCCCTCTCCCCTTGCGTTGCCATAGTGCTGGTTAGTATGTGGGGAGAGGCTTAAACCTTCATTGTTGAAAGTCTGCTGAAGTGGAAAAGTGACATGTCACTTTTCATGAACTGTCAGTCTTAGAGATAGGAGAGCTTTCTCTCCACAATTGGTACAGCTTCTTTAGCACTGTTTTGGGTCATTAGATGGCGTAGGTATTTGTATGCAATATGAATTGGATTTATCTTGGTAGATGGAGTCTGAACTAAAGTACTGTAGGACCTGGATTGGCAGTTCAGATCCAGAAGTTGGATCCAACTTGTTGAGTCTTTATGCTCTTTCGCTGCATAGTAAGAAGCAGAGATTAAATACAGACATGAAAGGGGGGCGGGGAGGGGGCAGGAATCATATTCCTGCTCTGTCAAGAGAAGTCTTATAATTAAAAACTTCTTGTACAGAGTAGTTTGTCATTTATATTTGCAATTTTATTTTTGCCGAAATCTAAAGGCCCCACTTCTACCTTTTCACGCACAAGTTTACCAAATGTGCAGACATTTATCAAATAGGCCATCAGTAGCAGTAGAAATGCAGTAGTACATCCAAGTTAAAATTTTTGCTTTGATTGCTACAAATCCATGGAGCCCTTGGGTCCAAAGCTTCTACTGAAGCACAGCTATTTGCAAATAGATTTTTATAGCACATTAGTGCTGGAGGAGAGTCCAAAGAAAATAGTCCTTTTCAATATTAGAACCAGCTGTGACTTTCTTGTGCTGATGACTCATTCATTTTTTTTTATAGGGTGGGAGAACTAGGCAAAAGACACACAGAGTCTTATTCAAGACGTTGTTTGTTTTGCAAAGGGTATCCTAGCCACAAGCCAACTTGATCATACCAATGTGCAACTCATGTTTATTTAAAACTTTTTTTCTTTTAACAGTTCCAATTATAAAAACAGAACCCACTGATGACTATGAACCTGCTCAAACCTGTGGACCAATGAACCAAGGATTAAACCCTCTCTCTAAACCATACTACAGCCAACAGATCATGATGCCTCCTGATCCTGGTTCGTGCCTTGTGGCTGGCTTCACTTCCTGTCAGCAGAGAAACACTGTGATGTCATCCTCTCCCAACTCAAGCCCCAAGCTGCATGACCTTTCATCTTCTGCTTACAAGTGCATCACCACCCCAGGTCACGGTCACCTAGGACTTCAGCAGCCCGCTGGAGGTGTCCCCACCATACAGGAAGTGCCAAGGCCTATAGTTGTGCACCCAAGCTCTCCAGATCAGTCATCTCACATCATGCTGCAGCCGCAGGTGAGTCAACATCTGAGCAGTAGCTGTTCCCTTGGTTACCAACAAACACTCTATCCCAACAGTCCCTCTTCTCCAGTTCCGTCTGTTACCCAAGAGCCAACCTATTTGCAGTCCTGCAGTCCAACTCACTCATCCATAATGGGTCAGCAGCAGCACCAACTGCCGAAGGTTCAAAGAAATGAATCTCCAACAAACCAACCACTGTCATTGCCAGAGTTGCATGAGGACAGTAATCATAATTTGGCCCCTATTCCTGTAACCATCAAGAGAGAACCTGAGGAATTGGACCAGATGTACCTGGATGATGGTAAGTCTTCCACAGCTGTAGAGGTTTGCATTCAACCATATTGCTATATCAGTGAGTTCTTTTACCTGCCTCCCCCTGCCCCCCTTAGGGATTCTGGTGGAAGAAAGTGCCAATTAACGGCCTGTGGAATGGTGCAGAATTTTGCTCTGATGTTTTTTGGATGGGGAAGAGTTCTGTAATTGTGTTTGCAATAACGAAACTGTATTATTTAAGCATTAAATGCTGTTAGTCACTGTGGAGCTAGCTGCATGACCAATAGCTACATTGCAATAATCTTAAGCATATGGTCTTGGCTTATGCCTATGCCAGTGACCTGTGGAACTGCAGTGAAAACATATTTAACATTGTCCCATACATAATGCAGTGAAACTTCACATCTACAAATCTGCTAACTGGAACTAAATGATACACTGCTCTATTTCAGCTGAGAAAGTTCAAATGGAAAACTAAAGCATGTTCTTCATCATGGTTTTTCATCCTTGTGGTATCTGAATTTAAGGCTACTTTTCCTTTAGTTCCTATTGTGTATTCGTGACTGATTGTTCTAACTTTTAAGATAGACATGTGTGCACATACACGCACGCGCGCACACACAAAACACATCGCTGAAATGTTAAAATGCTGTGACGAACTTATTAGCTGACTATAATAAACGTGGAGTAATCTGGAAACCCATTATATGACCTCACTACTAAGTATTCCAGTAGTACATTGAATTTTCATCTTAGTGCAATATATGAATTCCCTTTCAATAGCCATTTAATTTTATATAACTGAGTATGTTATTTAAAAAAAAAATGCTAGTGGAATGGCTGTACTGAAATGAATTGGTGCCAAGGAACATCTGAACATGATTGTCTTTGATTACAACAGAAGACAATTCATTGGACTATTTTCCTTTTAATTTAATCATCTGTTTTAAACAGCATGATACTTACTGAATTAGGATAAAGAGCATGAACATTTTGGATCTTGAATAACAGCAATTTGCTTTTCTCTTCTGGGAAAACGTCTTTCCTGAATAGAACTCCTGATCAGTTACACGACAGACAGGTCTAAGGAATTTTCCTAATTAGGAAGTCAGTTCATTAGAGTTTTACATGGTTATTACACAACTTCCCTGCAGGTTTTTTTTTTATGCCAAGGACAGACTATTCTTCAATTTGACAAGACAGTCAAATTCCACTACATGCATGCTTCTACGAGAAACAAGATTTAAGCCAATGCACACACGCAAAATGAAACAAAAATTGGAAAGCCTGATCAAATTAAGGACTTGATAGATGACAGATAAAGGCGGCACAAGGAACAGCTTCACAGTTAAAATTGACATATAATTGTTGGAGATTTATTCTGTATCTGTTGCCATCTGTCCATTCACGATAGCAGCAAAAGTTCATGTTGCATTACTCCTCTGTAATTCAACTGTTCTGTCCCATTCGTGTTTGATCCAATGTATTCATTTTAAAAAGTCATCAAAAAATGAGGACTACTCTGCACAAGAGAAAAATAGGGAGCAGCAGAACTCCCTCATTGAAGGGGCAACACAGTAAGCTGTGTAATTGCTGCAGTTCCACAGGGAGAAGCCGTTCCCACTGAAAGCATTCAGTTTGTTCTTTGCTGATGTCCACTAGAAGGCAGTGAGTGAGGCTTAGGAGCCACAGGTGCAAGGCTGCACAGATGTAACTAGCCAACCTCCCTTGAGATAAGGAGCCTGAGGTCGCAGAGTCTGCTACAGTTTTAGCCTGCAGTAATGTCATGGGGAGCTCTGCTGTAGCTGTTTATGCTGGAAAAGGATTTTATTTCCCTACCCCATGCTCATTTTCTCTGACACAGCATAAAAGACTTGGGCCTAGTAATTACTTGAAATCACTCATCACAGTGGTAATACAATTGAACTCAGATTTCAGTCTCTAACATATTGTCTAAAGCCATTCTATGACCAGCTACGGAACTACAAACTGAGAAACAGCTCAGACTTGTATTCATAATAAAAGGAACTCTATTCATCTCCTGATAGCATACTTTCAAGAACTTAGGATCACACTCTAAAGTGGTAGCATAATAATCCACATATATTTAAGAGACAGAGGCAATTGGCCTAACTGCAACAACATCTGAATCCCAGAAATGTAACCCAAAAAACTGGCAAACTTTTTTCTTTCTCCTATAGTTAATGTTTCTCCCTCCTTCCACATTTTTGTCTTTCCAGCTAATTTATAGTATGTACTTCTCTTACTGACATTGGAAATTTTATTTTTTGTTATTATTTTTATGATGTTCTGCATGTCAGGACCAATAATAATGTTTTGGTATGAGCAATTGTATCTTATCTTCTTTTTAAAAAATAGATTCCAGCTTTACTATCATTCCCCTACTTGGATATTAAGGTAGTGGTCGGGTGACACAAAGAGGACTTATATCTTCCCTACTTGCTGCTTAACCATTTCATTACTTCCCAGTGTAGCAAATAAGTTCTGGGCAAACCTCTCAGTCAGAAGCCTCTCTCTCATTCCCATAGACTAGTTATTAAAAGCATGGGATTTTGACCTGACACAGTTCAGAAAAGCATCCTGATCACTGAAGTGTTTACCTTAGACTCTAACTTATTTGCCTCCCAGTTAGATGTTACTCATTGCAGGTGACTGTGATACCCTCAGGAATGAATATCCCCAATAAATAATGCCTTATACCACGAATATTTCATTCAAGTCATAGGGGATACTTGTGGAGCAAGACACTAAGTCAGTGGAAGGAAGAGTGTACAGAGTGGTTCTGATTAAAAAGTGTGTGTGGGGGGAAAATCTTTGTTTGTTTATCTATTTATTTTTTGCTTCATTACTATTAAATTCAGCCACTGCCATTAGTTCTTGGTAGTTTATCAATTGAAGTGTGGGGGTTTTTGTTAGTTAGTTTGTTTTTTGGGAGAAGAATGTAGGCCATTTTGTAGCCTGTAATACTACCATATTTACTCAAATATAAGACAAGGGTTTTTCCCCAATCAGCATGGGGGGAAGGGGGGAGCCCCTCATCTTACATTTGCATATAAGAAAACCTCATTAAAGAAACTGTTTAAACTGCAGCCAAAAGCAACATGTGCTCAGTAATGAAAACCAACTATGAAGTTGATTAAATGCAGCCAGCACTGAGCATGACTATAAAACACATGGCCCATATTGGGCAACCATCTTCATGAGAATGTTTTTGGGTTTTTTTTTCCTTTTTTTGGCTCTTAAATATAATTGGCAGGTTTCCCCTTCACAGGGAACTGGCACTGGGCCTGGGGGGTACTGGAATACCAGGCTGGCACCAAGCAGGCCAGAGCCAGACCTGACACTCTCCTATGGATGCCAGAAATGCTTGATCTCAGCTAAAAGTGCCAAAATTACAATACATTTATAATTTTTCTATGTATAGAATGTAGTTATGGGAAATCATCTTATATTCAGGGTCATCTTGTATTTAAGTAAATATGGTATTTGGATGATTAGACAGCAGAAGTCAAATTAAACCAAGGGGTAAAGAGCTTTTACAATTTAGTTTTTCATAGATTACAGTAATTGTTTTGTTATAATTTGTTGAGTTTCAAATTTCAATTCTGACTACTTAAAACTGTTAAATATAATTAAACCTTTTTTCAACCTTAGCCTTAGTAAACAGTATAAAGCCATAGAAATAAGATCATTTCATGTACTATATTTCTTCCCTACTGCTTAAAAATTATTAAGCAATTCTCCTTCAGTCCAATAGCATAATGATAAAATCATAAAAAGAAAAAAAAATCAGAGCCAAAAGGCCCATTCAAGAAAAAAGTGTCAGAAACTTCACGAAGTCAATTAGGAACTTTGCTAGTGCTATCAATTTTACATGGGTGGTACTTGATACTGTAGCAATGAGCAGCAATACAAAACCCAACGACAGACAGCAAGAGCAAGCTCATGTGATTACAGGACAAATTATAAATCCAGCCCAGGTTAGGCAGAGTAATATTTGGTGCAGACTTTTGCAAACTCATCTTTTTCTTGGTTTGATTTATAAATCTCTATCTCTAATATATATTAGAAATAAATACATAAATAAATCCTTGCCTGATATATGTATCAAGTAATCTTGGACCTGGTATAAACAGAAGTTTTTCAGTTTCAGCCTGTAGAATCAAAGCAGTCTTCATTTTTTTTGGTCTGGAGTACGTCCAGCCATAGACTACCTACACTACAGAGTTCCCAGGGGAAAAAGCTGTCTGTTTGTTTTATATAGATATGATATTTTACTATTCGTGAAATAATGATAGTCAGCTAAAGTGATATAAAGGAAATACCCGAGGAGGCTTCTATTTTGGCAAGCAAGTGTTGTTCTTGGCAACTTCATTTTAAACAAAAATCAATAGTAGCCACCTGGGATACCCATTATACTGATAATTTTGTTTCAGAATGAGACTACATAGCTCAAAAATTACCACACATTTGAAGCTCACCTTGTTAAATAATATCTGAAATGTTATAAACATATTATCAATATCAGCATGCTTCTGTCTCAGTTAGCAAAGTGCTTGCATTGGGTGTTTTGAGTTGAAGACTTTTATGGACTCTTGCTGCTTATATGACATTAGTAAGGGTTGGGCTTAATGCTCAAGATGCTGCTTCTTAGGTGAAACAGTTAGAAAAAGACACAAAAGTAGGAGGTGCTGACCAGTGTTTCTCAATATAACAAGTTGCAATATCAAAAGCATTTTGCATGTGAAATGTTGCTGAGTGCTTACTGTGTAGTCCATTAGCTTACAAATAGTCACTGTATAAGAAACATCTAACTTGGGGTCTAATTCAGAACCCAATTAAGTCAACAAAAATCTTGCATATGAAAAGTGCCTTACCAGAAAAAAATGTATTTCCCAAGAAGAGCTTCCTATACTGGGTGAAAGAGAACAGGAGAAGAAGCTATGAAAACCACTAATGATATTCCCATTTAGATTGAACCTAGGAATAACTAGTGATGGGAACTAT